TATATATATATATATATATATATATATATACCTGGTCCCTTGTCTGTGCAATGCTTCTTTCTCCTGCTTCTCTATGAAGTCTCCTTGCTTTTAAGCATGCAGTCATTTGATTCATTCAGTAAATATTGAATCCTACCATATGGCTGGCATTGTTCAGGGTCCTGGGGATACAGCAATGAACAAAATAGACAGAAACCCATGCCCTTGTGGAATATGCACTGCGGTGGGGAGGCAGACTCTGAGTGGTATAAATAAGTACAGTGTGTTAGACAGTAGTAAGTGCTTAGAAGAAACAATCGGGACAAGAAATGAAATGTTGGGACAGCAGTTAAAATCTTGCAGAGGATGGTCATGGAAGACCCCACTGGGAAGGTTGTTTTTAAATAAGTACCTTCAGGAAGTAAGAGAAGTAATTCTATAATGTCAGAGCACACTGGGCAGAGGGTACAACAGGTACAGGAGCGCCTGGGTGGCTCAGTTGGTTAAGCGACTGCCTTCGGCTCAGATCATGATCCTGGAGTCCCGGGATCGAGCCCCACAACGGTGTCCCTGCTCAGCAGGGAGTCTGCTTCTCCCTATGACCCTCCCTGCCTCATGCTCTATCTCTTTCTCTCTCTCAAATAAATAAAATCTTTAAAAAAAAAAAAAAAAACAGGTACAAAGGACCCGTGGTGCTTCAAGGAGTGACAGGAGGCCAGTGGGGTGGGGAGTAGAGAGCTAGTGAGAGGTGAAGTCTATATTTTGGGGAGACAAATCACAGATGGCAGCTTTGGCTTTTGCTCTGAGTGGGATGGGAAGATCCAGAAAGCCTACCTCAAGCTGAGTGACCACATCGCCCACTCATTCCAGTGGTTGTTTCTTACTGCTAACTTATTATTGAATCGAAATCTCTTTGTCTCCAAAAAAGAGAATCTAAGGGACATTGACCCACGCCCAGTCTGCTTCTGCAGTCATCCTGAGTTCTCAGGGTTTACCCACATATTAATTTAGCTAACTAGGCTAAAGCCCCACCTACTGATAATCGGTGACAGCCAGTGTCTGTATATGTGGATGCCATTTCTATTTCTGCCTATTTCTCTCAAGAATGCAGAGTAGTGGGGCCAGCTAGTCAAACTTCAGGGATATGGAGACCCAGCTATAGCTCTTACTCAATCTCTCTCTCTCCCCTCTCCTTCTCCTCAATCTCCTCAAAATACATAAGGAACAGTGGAGGGTCTCACAGAATCTTGGCTGAGTGAATGAGTTGGCAAGTGCTAATAAGAATATCAGGACCTTAGGAAATAGAGATCCTTTTAGAAAATTCTGATTTCCAAAAAGATTTTCACATCAGATCTTCGACAAAGACAAAATTAGAATATGTACACTCTCAGCAATCTCCTTATCCAAAGTGTCCTCAGATGTGGCAGAAGGATCCACAAGAGTTGTAATGAGCATTTGTGAGGGGGTGCCAGTCATGTTACTATTAATAGATACCATACTAAAGTTGGACATGTTTTTGAATAAATTAGAACGAATTAAATATTAACCCCAAAATAACATCCTTCTCACTGCTATCATCCAATGTGCCTTCTGAGTGGCAGAGAAAGGTGGAGCTACAGCTGGACTACCAGAGCTGTGCGTAACCCTCGATGTGCCCCACACACAAACATCTTCCCTTTTGTGACTCTTGGTGGGAAATAGTATGAGAGCCACTTCCATGGGGAACAAGACTGGTACAGAAGGGTTGCAGGACAACTGCCATTTCTTTCTCAAATGACCGCCATGAGGACAGGAATGTTCTAGAACTTTCTTCTCCCCAATTCTAAGAGCCCTGAACTCGTGGAATGGCCAAATAGGCGATGATCTTTTTCTAAGAAAGACTCCAGAATGGTTTACTGTGTCATTCTCATAATTATATGCAAGAAAGTTACCATCTGTAGCTCAGCCGTGGCTCTTCACATGGAAGAGGAAATGACTAAATATATATTTACATAGCTCTCATGAATATGCATTTTTTAAATGCACAAATATGTACAATTACTTGATAGACTGTTTTGGTTGCTATCTTTCGAATATTTAATACAACCATAAATGTTTAATTCATATTTACTGGGTTGATTGAACAGTTTCGAAATTATGCCAAGTCTTGCTAGAAACGAGATTGAATGTCTCTAGCATATTTGTGCAGCAGGATTTGGCCAGCAGAGGCCACACTGACTGGTTAAGTGATGGTTTTCTTGTAAAGAATATTGAATAAAGCTGCTCATGGAAATCGACTTGGCTGTAGCTGAGAGGAATGGCCCTGCATTTACGTCCTATGGTAGCCTACAGAGCCCTTCATCATTTCGCCTCCCTGCCACCCCTTTACCGCTCTTTCCACTCTGTCCCTCATCACTCAGCCACAACAACTCACATTCCACCTTAAGTCCCCTGAACCCACTGTGTCCTGTGCCCACAATCCTGTCCACACAGACATCAAGATTGTCACATGCTCACCGAAGTTTATCATGATCAACCCTTTTACAATCACAGGGCCCAACACTGTTGAGGGCCTCTTCTGCTCTTTGGCTTTTTTCCCCCATTGTATTCACCTCTCACATCAAACAACATTGGCTAATTTATAATGTTTAAGATTAATGGTCTGTCTCTGTCTCCCCTCGCTAGAATGTAAACATCATAAGAGCAGAAATCTGTTTTATGCACTGAAGGATCCTCCAAAGCCCAGAATGGAGCTGGCACTTCAGGGAACTACAGTGGGGGGAGGAAGAAATGGAAACCAAGAGTTTTGGGTTCAAATCCAGCATGGGAATGAGGCAAGGACAGAGCAGAACAGCAGCAGAGATCTCTCCTGGGTACAGGTGAAACCTAACTGGCCAAATCTCCACAGAACTGGGTCACACGTTATTTAGAGGATCACCTCTAGGGGTGGCACCCATATGGAAAGGCTTTGTAGTCCTACTGTGTACATGTGGAACAGGGGTGTCAGCATCACCTTCAGAGAGAAATCTGAAAATTAAATGACATAAGTAAGTAAAAACATACCTATCTACAAGGATAGGGAGGAAGTAAAAAGGGAGTAGGCTTCTCATTAAGTAGAGAATTATTTTCTTAGGGTAATGCTTACCCAAAAATTGTTTACATTCAGCCAAATGCCAGGAGAGGCTATAAGACATGGCTTGTCACTGCGGTGGGGACACAAAGCTCTCCAAAATGTAGCCACTGCAGCAGATCCATTTTGCAATAAAAGTATTAGGGGAGGTCACACATCCCTGGGGTGAAGTATCACACATACCCAACAACAGCAAATAGGGAAAGGTATCCCTACAACTACAGAAAAAGAGGGGATGAAGATACTAGATCCTACAGTGTGTACTTTTTTGAGCAGTTCATGACAGATTGAACCATATTTATGACATAGAATTCATTTAGCATATCAGCCAAAATTAAAATCAAGGGATCATTAAATAAAGGAATATGCAGTTGAATGGGACGAGAAGATAATGTGAGAAAAACAGAGAAACAGAGGATAAAGAATAAGAATAAAAATAAAAAGGAGGGGCTCATCCTAGAACCAGGATGGAGACACCTCCCTAATTCTCCTGTCTATGGATGTCACCAATATTCTGGCGAGGAAAATTGGTGGTAATTACCAGAACCACACACTCTAGTTACAAATGAATAGTATTTATAGCTTGTCATACATGCGCGGGAATGTTTAAGGGGATGTTTAGTGAA